ATATATGTATACATATATATTTCCATATATATATATATATATTCTATATTTATATCTATATCTATATCTATAGTTTGTTAGTATGGATATGATATATATATATATATATGTATATATATATAATTTTGAGATCTTGAGATCTTGAGATATCTATTGCTCGACCAACTGGCCTATCTGTAGATTTCACAAAACTGGACTAATTGGATGCCAAGGTCCTATGCGTAATACTTTCACGCGCTTTATGCTGTGACGTCTAATGTTTTGGCCTGTTTTCCCGTGTGCCTTAATACGGGTCTCCATACGGCCTCTTCATATCCACAGACATGTCGCTCATCCCTTTTTCCTCGACCAAGGAATCGAACCTGCGAATGCAGATTCCCTTCTAGCCTAGCTGTAGATGTCACAATGCTGTATTCGTGGGTTCGATTCCTCGGGAAGTTGTGAGAGGCATTGTTGTGTGAGGGAACTGTGCCATATCCAGTTCACCGATGGTGACAATGACTCCGCGTTAGGGAACAAAGTGCAGCGACTGACAGCATCACGCCAATGCCGCGGTAATTTTATCCCAATGGGTCAGTTGTGTGATATCTACAACTCGAGCAGTTGTCGAAACTGGCCTAGCTGTAGATATCACAATGTATATATAAATATATATGTTACGTTGTTCTATCGAGCCTCCCAATACATGGCGGTGGCGGCCTACTGCGTAATATTTTAGCAATCTACCCATTGCTTACCATTCGAGTGCTTGTATTTTCGCATGATTCCTTCAGCCTCTGCATCACTGCAACTGCCATCAGTGTTGTACCCCACTCCGAACACAGCCTTATCCTGCTTCTTGAATTCCGCAACAATCGTAGCTGACACCTCTGGCACAAGATTCGTTGATCGCGTAGTCTATAACGTCAATCAGATCAGGGATCAAATCAACGGTGTTCTTCTGTGCAATCTCTAGACCCAATTCGTGGGCGGTATTTGCCATCCAACGCATGTAATCAATTTGATATGGCTTTAAACTGTCTTTGGGTTCATCTGGTACGGCGTCACTACCATATTCGTATGCGTCGGTATTGTCCGGTTCTATTCAGTGACATCCCTTCTCAACTGCCTCCTCCATTCTAGCCTTGATTAAGTGCTTGAAATCCTCCCACTGAGTGATGTCTATCCAGGATTCTCCGGGATATAGACTATCCTTTGAAGCGTACTCCAGCATGTCGAGATAGTCTGGACGCCAATCCTCGGCAGTACCGGCACTGAAATAGCAGACCAGGTACTGTCCTCCGTCTACAAGAGACTGGACATAGTCCTTTGACTTCGTCTGTAGGTCGATGTCAATCATGTAGCCATTACTGGTGTCTTCTTATCCCCATGCCTCGAGTGTCCAAGTGGTACCCTGTGTTATCTTGTTCACACTTCGTCGAATTGCAGTTGCATTGACTGAGCATGCAGCTAGGGAAGCCGCCACCGCCAACGTTTGAATCATAGAAGAGTACATTTTGAGATAAATAGATGTGGCTTTTAGTTCTGCTGAGAACATTTGTAGAGCCAGGTTTTTTAGTGTTCGCATACGAGGCATATATTTCGTAAACAACCAAATTGTGTCAAGAGGCATGTATTTCTTAAACAACCAAATATTTCATACATAATGCTTTTTTCAAGAGGGTGATTGTATCTAACATTGAGAATTTTAGATCAGAAATGTTGCTCGGAAAATACTTTTCCGAGCTTGTGCAAATGATCCTTTGACCTTGGGTTTCAGGATGATCAATCTTTTGTTTTAAAGTTCTGGGCTAAATCCCCTTTTTTTTAAATACCACAAGCACAAGCGAGTTGGTACTTGAAGAGTTGGAGTTGTTCCTGGCTTGGGCATCTGAGAGAGTGGTACATTATTTATTTTGTGAATTATGCGGCAGCGGAGCATCAGGTACATGAATGTTATTTGAGCCCATACTGGTAGCTGGTGGGCTTGTGACCTAAAGTGCTTACTTCTGGCCAACTTGGTCCGCGACAAAACGCTGCCTTGTCTGGTATTGAACAAAGTCGCATTCAATTCCTTTTTATTGCCCTATAGCGCCAGCCATGGACATAGTTTTATTGCTATTCTCTTTGAGCGAGTTTGCGTACTGTTGTAAACTCTCAGGAAATCTGAGGAAAACTATATACCCATCTACATTTTCAGCTGTATTCCACTTCAGCGCAAGAGCCTCAAAATCACCACTTGACTTCAATTGTAAGCCTGCAATCATATTTGTGTAGAGACGTTTCTTCACTCTGTTAGACACCCTGAGGTATGATACAGGTACTCCCATTCGTTTGCCTACCATAATATTTTAGCCGTTAGAGGCTTACCTTCAATTAACTTTGTTCTAGTTTGTCTAGCTCAACTTTCTTCACACAGCGAACACAAATATTTGACACACCGAATTGTTCATTTGAACTCCTAAATTCGGCACGGTATTCCAGATTTTACCACGTGTAATATGCTCGGTGTCGTATAGTTTTCTTGTATAGTGTGCCAAGTGAGTATGGTTCCATAGTTCGAAGTGGCCAACGTCCAATCTCCCAATCTCATAATAGCCTGAAGTGTTATTTATTTATTCAATTTGTGAACATATTGAACCACTAGTGCACGCAACCGACTTTAACATATTTAGAACTTATCAACATTGAGTAAACATTGATTAATGCATCACGAATACCTGTAGGTGATTATGTTTATGTCGCCATTCTGCGAGTAAGATGTCAACTTTCCTGGGACCCATTGTATTGCAACCAAACTGTCTCAGTACGATCGTACCGTGGGCGCACCACCAGAGCGTGAAACCATTACTATCCAAACGTGAGCAAGCCGTGTGCATAGAATAGTGTATTTGGTCGATTACACATATTAGGGTGTACGTACATAATATTTATATTTAGTTCATGTTGGGAATACAACGCTTGACTCGCGTAGACTCAAAGTTATACCTCATATAGTTCCAGTCCCGGTATATCACTTATGTAACTCCCCGTATGTAAGAACAGTACGCCCTCCGCATCCTTCTTAGCGTTTTTTTTCCAAATAGCGGGTAATCGTGAAGAGGTTGAATTTTGAAAACCATAGCTTCCTGAAAAAGTGAATAATAAAATAGCCCCTGGCCTCGTGATAGCCCTCTCGCGGCAAGTGTGGATTGTGAAATTCAGATATTGTGACTTTAGTGAGTCTTTTAGACTGGGGGTAGCGCGATTACTGGTTCGGTGGATATAGACGTACAGTGTGTGTGTGTGTGTGGAAGAGGGGGGAGGGGGTGGGAGAACTCCTGCACAACAAACTATTCGATACAATACAAAATGCGGAGGAAAGCGGGCAAGCGAATATTGGTGTTGAAAAATATAGAATTTTATAGATTTAAAAAAGACAATTATGAAGAAGAGACCGATACGGCGTAAATAACAATGGCGATCCGCGATACTGTTGATTTATTTGTATTGAACTAAAATATGTGAAAGACATCGATAAAGTCGATTTCCGAAGAAAAGGAGTTTTTGAGCTATACTGAAATTGCTATTCTATTAAATATTTTATTACACTAAGCTGTAACACATGCGTCAAGCCGATATTTAATATACTCTCAAATACTCTCCAGAGAGGAGTACCGGATTCCTGGGCTCTATGGTGACGGCCTGCCTTACTCTCGCCTGCCTTATCCCTATGCCTGCCTTTATGCCTGTCTTGATGAAACCATAGCCAACTGACACCACAGGCCTAACATGGTATATTTTTAGAACTGCTGACAAAAAATATCAGGCAACATCAATCCAAATTTTCTGAACTGGTAGGAATTGTACCAGAACTCAGTCAAGGTGGTCATATTCGTATACATACACACACACGCGATAGACATGCTGCTGAGGCTTACAATAGGTTAGATAAAATGTCCTACCGCTTGATGATGTATTAGTGTATATGCCAGATATTCCTGTTATATTAGACCGCCTTTAATATGATATAGTATTGCCCGAAACATCTATGCGATAGTCTCGAATATTCAAGATGCATGCATGCATGCTTGCTTGCATGCTCAGACTATATTATGGTCGTGACTACATAAGTGGGTCTGGGTCTGGGACTGTGTGTCTACCGGGACGATTTTTACATCCATCCGTAAGATATATCAGCATATCGTGAACTGAGGCTCACAGGAGAATGATAAAAAAAATCCGTCCTGATGTCGAATGCTGCCGATGCTTGAAGGTTCAATCGGTGGCAACCAAATAACTGAAACTCCACACCGCGCAATAAAGGCTACTTTTTAGATTGTAAGTCTGGCATTCATACCAATACATATAAACTTAAATGAAAAGCAATTCACTCGTGGTGCACGATCATTATATGTACTGCTGTCGTTGGTGATTTAAAATATGATTGACTGATACTTATCCACTGTCGAATGCGCAAGAAAAACGGCCTTCCCAATAATAGTGCATTTAACTATGCTGTAACTATATATAGATGTGCATATATGAATAATAGAAACCTACAAATTATTGTACATTAGAATTATACGTAAACGTAAACATGCACGAATATTACTATATATAAATACTTTCAAAGTATACGAATGCTTGTTATGAACAGTTTGAATGC